CAGTTGCATGTCAGTTGCATGTCAGTTGCATGTCAGTTGCATGTCAGTTGCTCCACTGCTCTGGAGCTTAGAGACAGATACCAGTGAAGATAAGGACACACCTTGACTGCTTCTTTCTTCTCAGGAATGACAGCTGATTTGTAGTCTCGGTGTTTTGGAAGCTTTTCAATGAACAGCCTAAGGAAACACACCAGAGTGGTTAGGGTACACAGAAAATGTCACATGTCCCTGAGAAAATGCAGCCACTGAAAGAGTTTCTGGGGTGCTGGGGAGTTAGACCAGGCACAGCATACACAGCTGGTCTCCTGCCAACTTCGTCCCTACATAGAAGTCCTGCTTCCTTCTCCCAAAACAGAGAGAAACAGCAAATGCCAGATTCCTACATCAAGAAGGAGAGCCAAGGGTGAGTGAGAAATCTCGATAGGTCAGGTCCTTGTGGTCAAGGCCGGGTACCAGAGTTTAACCCTCAGTATTCACATGGTGGAAGAAGAGAACTCATCCATCCAAGTAGTTTACCATCCTTCATGAATGCCACATTGGCAGGTGCCCTCACCCCAACAAAAAATAAACGTAAATTAAAAAAATATTGACCAAGATGGATATGCAATCCATTGACGCTTATAATTCCAACCCCAAGGAGGCATTGTGGGTTTTAAACTATGTAGACTGAACTACAAAGTGAGAATGTCTCAAAACTGAAGAAACGATTCCCCCAAACTTCATATAAATAAAAGCCTGTCCTATGCCCGAATTGTAACTCTGACGAGAAAGGTTTTGTTTTTTTTTTTTTTGTTTTTTTCTTGTGATATGACAGAACGGGCCTCTGTCATAAAACATCCTTCATTCCGTGATGGCTAATTTTATTATCTATTTGACGTACCTGGGAAGAGAAAACCTCAGGAATTGCCCCCATCAGGCTGGCCTGCAGGCTTGTCTGTGGGACAGTGTTTTGATTGCTAATTGATGAAGGAGGGCCGAGTCCATCGTGAGTGGTGCTATCCCTAGGCAGGTGGGCCTGGGCTGTATAAAAAAGGTTGCTAAGCACGGGCCAGGGAGCAAGCCAGTAAGCACCATTCCTCTGTTGATTTTCTCTTCAAATCCCTGTCTTGGTTTCCTATAAACTTAACAAATCCTTTTCTCTCAAGCTGCTTTTGGTCAGTGACTTATTACAGAAATGCTAATCAGAATCCAGGACATCCGCAGCCAGGGATAGTAGGTTAAGATAAGAAAAAACCTCATCCATTATTGCTGTTGTGACCTTGACCTCTAGAAGTTTCTCCTGGGACTCATAATCCTTCAGAGAAGAATGCTGTGCACCACTTCCAGGCTTACGCAGCCTGTGCTCCACAAGCAGATGCCTAAGTAACTCTGAAGGAAGCTCAATGCAAAATCATAAACTTACTTAACAATAGAGGCTGACAAACAACATAAGAACTCTGTGAGTAAAATCCCACGTTGTGCAAGCCTGCTGAGCCTAGCCTGATCATCCAGAAGCAGGAAGCGACACTTGAAAGTTGTCCTTTCACCTCTGAACATGCATACAAGCTATCCACATACCTCCATACTGCGATGATGACAGCAACTACTACTAAATAATAATAATGATGATAAGAATAATAATAGATAATTAAATAAAGGACTGTGTACATAGCCATCTGCCATGTGTGTACAGGATTATCATCAGTAGCAGACACAGGAACTAAAGACGAGGATGAGAAGCATCTTGGAGATCTAACACCAGGGCTGGAAACTCCCTAAGTGCAGCACGGCACAGCAGTGTACACATGGATGCTTTGGTTTGGGGTTATATCTGGTTGCAGACTAGAGAAAGCAAATACATCAAAACAAAGATACATCAGCAAACTCGAAAACCATCTGACAGAGCAACGAGAAAACCAGGAAACGAGCAGGAAAGGGCTCACAGTGAATATATGGCGCTCAGCTTCTCTGATGAAGGAAATTCTAAGAAAATGCAAGATAGCAGTTTTACTATCAGATTGGCAAAGGTAGGTTGGTGCCTGCTCAGGTGTAGGAAAGAAAATGTATATTCTCATGTGTTATCAAGATTGTAAATAGATCTAACTTTTTTCTTATTGGAAGGAAAAGATGGATGACAATTATTCAAAACTTACAATGTACATATACACAAAATCTACAGCCTGGCCTCAAGGAACTCAAGATCAACAAAACTACATCTATGCACATACCAAAATATACATACTAGAAGATTCAATATGGGGTTACAAAAAGCAGTGAAGCATCAACATTCATTAAGACAGGATAATAGAATAAACCACTACATATGCAAATGTAAAACAATGTTATCACTCATTCATTCAAAAAACATTTTACTGAGCATCTCTGTACGGTGCCAAGCTGGGCTCTGAAGGCTGGGGATACATTGTAAATGGTCCATTCAAGCTTTCCCTCATTACAGAGTACCCATTACAATGGAGAACAGACATTTTTAAAAAGCATATTAAAAAAAAATCAGTATTATTGGGGATGGGGAGATGGCTCAAAGGTTAAGAGTACTGGCAGATCTTCCAGAGGACCTGGGATCATTTCCCAACACTCATATGGAGGTTCACAACAATCTCTAAGACCCATGGGATATGACACCCTCTTCTGGCTTCCTCTGGCACGAGGCATATATGTAATACCAACATGCATGTAGATAAAACACCCCCCCCCATAACATGAATACATACAATTTGAAAAAAAGGAATCAGTGCAAGGAAAGTCATTAATAACAGGAAAGGGGACAGGTGGAGACTGGGGCATGGGACTGGAGATGGAATAGCTAAGGGAAGCATAAGAGATGGCATTTGAGTAGGGACTGGAAGAGACCTGGCTCTGAAGAGATCCAGGAGACTGTTCAGGTTGATAAGGCTCCATGTGTCCCCGTGTGGAAAAACAGCATCACTAAGAGAATAAGCTCAGAACAGAAAACAGACTGTGTATTCATACATTAAGGCCAAAGGTGCACAGATGCTTGCATTTGTGTAAATGCTATCTTGTTAGAACAAGTCCATAGGTGTTGTTAACATGTGCCAGTTGGGACATTATTATTGTTCTTATTCCTGTGTGTGTGTATGTGTGTGGCCTTGCATGTGCCACAGTACACATGTGGAGGTCAGAGGATAACATGTCGAGTCAGTTCCATCCCTCTTCCTTCGAGTGGGTTCCAGGGATTGAATTCCACATGTGCATGGCAAGGGTTTTACCCACAAGACATCTCACCAGCCTGACATTAAAAAAAAAAAATTTTTTTAAACTTGAATTTCTCCCTTCTAATGTTTGAGGGAAAATGATCATGAACAAGTATTTCTCTATGGAAACAGTTCATTCAGAAAGTCACGAGGACAGTCAATAAAAGGATGCACTAAGGATCCTCATCTCATGTTTTCTGGTTTCTCAAGTTAATCAACGAAATAAGCCTGAGCATGGGAGAGCCCTTCTTTGGTCTATAAACCCCAATCTCAGTAAACGCCTTCAATATGGGTGACGGTTCACTTTTGGACGGAGGATTTGTGTTGGAGGAGGCTCACACAGTACAGCAGACCAGGGCTGCTTGAATATTCTCAGTCTCTTCTATGCAGCCTTCTGATGCCCATAAAAAGCTGCGAAAGAATCCACCGGCTGCCTTATTGTCTGTGCTCATCATGAAAGTATGTACTGATCCCACATGCTGGAGATCTTTCTTCTATACTGGGGTCTGCAAAAGGCAACACATTCCTTCAGCAGGAAAACTACTACCAAGAGGGGAGATATGCCTGACGTCATTAAGATGCCTGAACTGCTCTGGGAGGAAGGACAGACATGCCTTTTAAATCCTGAACTAAAGCATCCATGAAAGGTCCAGAACAAGATTCTTAAGAGTGGGGGAGGCAGGAGGGTGGTGACGTAGACGCCTACCTCCAGTCCCCCTCCCCCCACACCGCAGCAGTAGTAACTGGCAAAGTGAGCCGCTTGGTGTAAACTGGCTGGAACACATCAAGTGTGAGCCTCACTGGGCTAGCACTCCTCAGCAGCCACCCACTTGTCATTTCACAGGCTCAGCATCAGGGTCAGGAATGAGGTACCAGAACAACGAAGGGAGCGGCATCTCCTGCTTCAGGCTCAGTCAACACAATGCAGTCTCAACTCAAATCCTAAAGCCAACAAATCAAGCAAACAAAATGCATGCCCCATCTATAACTCTGCCCCAGGCCTTGCTCACCGTGTACATGGATAGATACCCTGCCCCATGTCCGTCTCACCACTAATACTGATATTTGTCATTCAGGGTAACGCCAGGTCATGAATAAAAAAGATAAGAACCAATTTCTTAGTCATGTTCTCAGTCTTATTGTGATTGTTATTGTTGGTGGTGGTGTTGGGGACCAGACCAGGGTTATCCACATGCTAGACGGGTTCTGTATCACTGAGCTGCAGCTACAGCCCTCCATGGACTCTTACGGCATTGATACATTCGGTTCTGTTTCTTGGGAGCTTGTTGAAATGAACGCTCTCTATTGGACCATTAGCCTCCGCTTTTTCACAAGATCTTCTCTTTATGGAAAAATATGTTCTAGAATTTGCCACCCTAAAACACAGCACTTTCACACTTCTTATCTCCATTCAGTGACTTCCTCATTATTTTACTTCATATCTCTACAAAGAGCTGTCTAAGCTGGGCGTTGTGGTGGACGTCTTTAATCCTAATAGTAAGGGCAGGAGAATCTGAGTGTTTAAGGCCAGCTTGGTCTATATAGTGAGTTTTAGAACAGCCATAGCTATGTAGAGAGATTCTGTCTAAAAATATCCCTAAAACCCAAAAAAACAACCCTCCAAAACCTAAAAAATCTAAAATCAAAAAACAAAACACTCAAAAAACAAAACCCTAAAACAAACAACGCCCCCACCCCCAAACAAACAAACAAACAAACACCTGTCTACAACAGGGTTTGGCAAAGTAAAACTAGTGGCCCAAATCCAGCTAGCTATCTCTTCTTGTACACAAACAAACAAACAAACACAACTTGAACAAATCTAGACACTGAAGTTTGCTAAAGCTAGGGGAGGGGTGCTACTGGTGCCTACTGGGCGCACACCAGGGATGCTGCTGACCTACTGGGCACACACCAGGGATGCTGCTGACCTCCTTCAATACTCAGACCAGGCACAGAACCAAGAAGCATTCCCTCCTGTGTCAGAACTGAGCTTGAGGAGACCGACAAGATGCTCAGCATGTCGTGACTCATGTACTGATAAGAAACTCCGTGTGCTATGACTGATGTGTGTGTGTCTATCTAAGAGGACACACGTGGGGCTGGTGAGCATGTCTCTTGTAGGGAGAGGAATGGGGAGGGAGGTTTATTATGGTCTCTAAAGATGCCTTCTGTAAGTCTAAATGGAAAGGAAAAAAACCAAACAAACAACCCATGCTCTGGATGTAAACTTGAAACAGGAGCTGCAAAACCTTGGAGGTGTCACTGCAAACTGAAACCCAAGCTCATCCTTAAGCCCGAGGTTGCTCAACTGCAGAAAAGAACAGGAGGGTGATGCACCTACTTAGCACACACCACCCTATGAAGATCAATGAAATAATTCCAGAGAAACCCCTCCTTGTGCGGAAGGGTATCCTGGGTCATGGTTGAGCAGGTGCTTAGAACCCCGAGATTCTCCGTGGAATTCTGCGTGAGAACCGGCAGGAGTTCGGTCCCTCCCATCATCTAGGATCCTGAAAAGCAGTCACATAGATCTCCATAGAGTCACATAGGCCAGGCTATAGGCCTCAGGCCCTAGAGATTTACATACTAATGAAGGCCAGAGGGCAGAGCAAATTAAACATTCCTCCCCCAGATCCTCCCCCAATCCTCTCCCTTTCTCCCTCCCTATATAACTTGGGACTGCCCTGAGTTTTTTGGCGGGTACGCCTAGATCCATCTATTATCTGCCATGACAATAAACCTTTTTGGAACCAAGGACTTCCTCGTGTTACTGGGGCCTGCCGCCAAGGCCTCCGGGCCACTGGAACCATAGGATCTTCTTCCCTGATGTGGGACCCGCCACGGTGGCGGAAGCCCCTCCAGGGCTTGTGCCGCTGTGGCGGCCTTTTTAAATTTTCCCCACACCTCCTGAGCCCCCAAGTTCCTTTGAGTCACCGGCAGCTATTCAGGCTCTGTTGTACTAAATGTACGACTAGAATTATCAAACAAGACCTTTACACATCATCCCCTCCCTCAACAGCACACTGCTCCTGTGGCTAGGGCTTTGGGAGCCATTCCCCGGTGCTGGCCTTGAAATCTTGTGTTTACGCTGCCCGCCCAAGTATGATGAATGAAGAGCTCAGGGAAGGTCTCACTGTGATTGAGTCACATGGACAGCAAGTGGTCCATAGTCACCTGGAGGCTGTGACTACAGTACCAATTAAGAAGGAAACCTCCTTCCTATGCCACTCTAAAGGCACATGATGAGTACAAGAATCTGGGCTGCCACACACCGGCCGTGGTCCTGTAACTGCCACACACCGGCCGTGGTCCCGTAACTGCCACACACCGGCCGTGGTCCTGTAACTGCCTGCCTGAGCACAGAAAGGGCAGTCAAAACACTCTCCAATGCAGACACATCCCACTTACTGGATAACTCTTTTGTCTAACCGCTGGGACATGTGGTCACAGCCTGAGAACCAAGTGTTCTTTTCAGGAAACTCTCGAGTCAAATAACACCACCTTTGGTCCCTGTACCTTTGAATGGCAAGGACAACTCACATGTGGAAGCTGTCTGGAACCTGATCAACGGTTGACACTGTCAAGCACCCCACTGTCAGCAACTGTGAGAACCACAGGTGAACACAGGGGCAGAACTCAAGGGATGTCAGTCACAGGACCAAAAGAGAATCTGTAGGTATCTTACGTGATGTACTTGTTGTAGAGGATAAAGGCGTGTTCAATGTTGCCTTCTTCAGAATAGACGGATGCCATGCGGATGATCTCAACGCCGGAACGGAAGTAGCGACGGGGTGGAATGTCTTCATTTAACTCAACTGCACTCCCAAGTTGGGACAGAATCCTCACCCGGTCTTGGGGTGGGAGGCTCACATCCCCGTGGTCAGACATTGGACCAATAAGTTCTGGGACAGAAGAGAGAAAACAGGTAACATCAAAGCCAATACCATAGCTTCCCAGTGGTCAGCACAGGATGAGTATATCACAAACCTCCCAAGAAATTAGAGAAAGAGGCAGGCATGGTTGAGCATACCTTTAATCCTATCACTGAGGTACAGAGGAAGGAGTTAGATCTCTAAGTTCAAGACCAGTATAGATTACGTAGCAAGTTCCAGGATAGCCAAGGTTACATAGAAAGACCTTGTCTCAAAACAAAAACAACACAAAATGGACAAACAAAACATTAGAGAAAATAAAATACTACATACAGTGGTTCTGATCAACAAATTATCCCTGCTGGCCTCAAGAACATCCAAATCTTGATTTGAGGACTGACAGGTTAAAAAAAAAATCAACCTTGTCCTGCAATTTGATGCTACAAGGAATACAGCTGTTAACAGGGCACTGTGGATTTGTTCTACTGCTCCCCAAGTTACTCTCCATAAGTAGGAGGCCCACCTAGAGAACTGTGGTGGTAAGAAAGCATCTTCTTCTTGTTTCTCTAAGCAGATACCCATTTCCGTTTATTCAATACCTGGCAGAATGTGCTCAGTGAACCCTGATGAAGACTGCCTGGCTAACTCACACTGACCATTTAGTTCCACCAGAAATTAAATGTATTTACCAGGATACACTTCCTCAGTTTGAATACAGTGTTAGTGGGGGGCTCCTTTCCAGGGTGAATACTCCTGGCTCTGCTCACCAAACTATGCTTTGATTCAGCCCATCGCATTCACCACTTTCAGGGCCAGGTAGTTAGTGCTTGGAAGCATCAATGTATACTTGTCTCCACAAACCAAGCAGGGCTTGAATGGCAAAGTGACAGTACCTCAGCTGGGGTGGGACACTCTAGGAGTTCCTACTCACTGGTACCCAAACCCCAGGGAATTTACATTCTTCCTAGATGTTGCTTCTGGGCTCCATGACACCACCACTGCACATAATCCGGTGTGAAGTGGGGTTGTCGTTGTGCACTTGATAATGGCACACCCTAGCCAGCCTGTTCTAGAATACATTCATCTTGGGCTTGAGCAGTCTTGTTTTCCCCATCTTATTCCTTATTCCTCAGTCAGGATTCCCACCTGCCCGGGGAACCGCAGATTGCAGTGTTGTTCGTTCAGCTGTTGTTTTTTTTGAGTTCTACTCACCGGTCCTCAGAGATTGTTTTCTCTAGGCCAATTCTGCTTTAGCTTGCTTTGACTTTGGGATGGCATTTCGTCCATAAAGTTTCCCCACTAAACTCCCTTTTCTAGCAAAAGCTGGGGGCTGCTAGGAATGTGGGGGCATTGCGAGTGTAAAACACATCCTCTTGAGAGTGTAAACCTGCCCACGTCCCTATCCGCTGCTGGTACAGCCCAGAAGAGCTCATTGGAATGGGATGCTGGGCACCTCTGGAGAGAGGCACCTGTGGGTAAAGAAGGGACCATTCTCCAGAAGCCATCGAGTGGCTCGGGACAACATGGGGTTCAGCAACCCTGCAGAGTATGCATCAGAGAGGGATCCAGCAGTAACTGCTGGCGGCGCCCATCTAGAAGGCACTCAGGTTTCTCGAAAATGCAAGGAGTGTTGCGCCCGGGCCTGGCTGGTCAGCAGCCAGCCCTGAAGACAGGGCCATCCCAGAGCTCGCGCGCGGCCGGCGGGGGCTAGGGACACGGACCCAACACTCGCAGCCTCTCCCCTCGGGGTCCCACCGCGCCAGGATCCCCAGTCCCGCAGCATTCCCGGGACCCTTCCCACCTTTCGTGAAGGATGACAGTCGGAGCTTCCGGAAACGTCACCTCCGATGACACGCCCACTCTCGCCACTCCTTCAATTACGCTCCAAGGATTTAGGACCTGGCGTGGAGAACAGGTGGGTGGGGCTGGAATCTTCCACCAATGAGAGCGAGCACTGCAGCAGTCCTTTTGGTAAAAAAACGAACCAGGAAGAAAAGGGAACCAAGTGAAAGAGGGAACTGCAGCACAAACCAGTATGCTTTTTCCTCCATTAATTTATTTTTTTATTCTCTTTACATCCCTATCATTGCACTCCTCTCTCTCTTCCAGGTCCACGCTGCACCCCCCCCCCCAGTTACTCCCCCTCCCACCTCTGGACATCCCCTGACCGTGGCACAGTGAGTCTCTGCAGGGCTAGGCGCATCCTCTCTCACTGAGGCCAGAGAAGGCAGCCCAGTTATGGGAATGGGATCCGCAGACAGGGAACAGCTTTAGAGACAGCCCCCACTTCAGTTGTTGGAGGACCCACATGAAGACTGAGCTGCACATCTGCTACATATGTGTGGAGGCCTAATCCAGCCTGCGCATGCTCTTTGGTTGGTGGTTCAGTCTCCGAAAGCCTCCAAGGGTCCCATGCCGAAGCAGGAGTTTCCTGCCAATGGCTCCTCCATCGGAATAATAGCAATTTAATATTTCAAGGGGGGGATCGCTATCTAGCTTGTCATTCACAGCCGAGCTGACATCACCACTTCAAACAAAAGGTCACTGACTACCTATCTAAGTAGCCACCCTCTGCCAGTGAATCCTGTACGTTAATTTTTTTTTTCCGCGAGCAGACTCTTGTAGGGTTCTCCTAAAATATGATTTCTCAAAAGAAGGGAGATTTTCTCACTTATTTACATATGTCTCCCCAATGCCTACCATGACTTGTGGCTTCAAACTCAACACATATTCTTGGATGTGCAGGTGTTATTGAGATAAAGGGTGTCTGTCTTACAGTCCCCAAGATGACAGGGATGGACTAATCAACTGTGAAAGTGGAGATGACAGGCGGATCATTTTGTTCTTGGGATCAAATCGTCTCGACGAGGCAATCCGATCCAGGAGCAGAAGGCACTGAGATGAGGTGCATTCATGAATTTAGTAGGTGTCTCATACTGCAGGAGTGCTCTAGGGACAGCGAGGAGGAAGGAAATCTCAGTTCCTGCTCTGAAAGGCTGCAGATGTGAGAGGCAGCGGACAGAAACCCACCAGGCTGGGCTGTGAGCTTCCCGCCCCACAGCACGGCACAAGCCTGTCTTAAACTCCGCTGAGGAGTGAGCGAGTTTGAGGGGGGGGCGTGTTTGTGCAGTGCATTCTAAAGAAAACCGGCCACAGCATTGACCTCTTTGCTGTGAGCTCACTGGGACTGAAAAAGATGAAAAGGTAGATAGATATCACCACTAGGGGGAGGGGAAGACGTCGTTTTTACTGGTTCAAACACAGGAAAAAGTCTTTAGATTTGCGCACAATTATTGCAGGCACATTTCGTATCTGATACTTATCTCCAGCTATAGTACACACCTCAATTAACTGGCTCCAGTTTCCAAGTACAAAACTCATTGCAACATCGGGATGGGCTTGTGGTTCTAAGTTCCGTTTTGTCTGAAGACAGGTCTTTCCTGTCACCGAGAACAAATTAGTTAGGGAAGTAAGTTCTTACACTCATTGGAAAGATCTTCACTGTACATTTGTCTTATTTTTCAAAAATTGATTAAGCCAGACAGGTACATACCTGGTAGACAGACGTGGCAGTCCCTCTTTCCCTGGCTCTCAGGTTAGGGAGAACTTTGTAATGTTTCTTTTAATGGTTCATTAATAAAGGTGTTTATCATTTGCATAAGCTTTCCCCCATTCTAACAGGTGACATTAGTACCTATCAAGAAAGACCTCTACAGTGAATTAGTCTGATTGATGAACTGCTGGCATTTTTCAGGGACCAAATGAGGAGGTGAAAGGTATTTTTATGTCTTTAATGTGTGTCAGGAGTAGGGTGCACCTCTCAGGGAACAGTGTGGTCCAGTGTTCTTATCTTCTGCTTCCTTCATAATAGCTACCTTCCATGTGCTGAGCCAGAAAGGTTGGGCATGCATCTATTTCTCTTCCACTCTCTCCACCTCTTCCTTTATTGTGGGAAATGTTTGTGGAAAAAGCCTTTGTTTGTTTTGTTAATGTATGAGTGTTCTATTTGCATATACACCTGTATGCCAGAAGAGGGCATCAGATCCTATTATTGATGGTTAAGAGCCACCATGTGGTTGCTGGGAATTGAACTCAGGACCTCTGGAAAAGCAGCCTCAGAGGTCTTAACCTCCGAGCCATCTCTCCAGCCCTGTTTTGTATTCTTAAACTCATAAATGTTACTTTCTGTCAACTCCCAGAAGCAGGGCTCTTCTCCATATCCAGATGCTTTGAAAAACTCCATTCACCAGAAGCATACAGCAGAGAGTCAGAAGCAAGCCTTCCTCCTGGGTTGAATTCTGCCTGTACACTGTCTGATGCCTTCATTCCTTAGGCCATGTGGACATCCCACCATTTGGAGCTTTCATGCTTGAAAAGCATTAAAGATGCTTCTCCCCCACCTCCTCCTTTTGACACAGAAGCTTGCACTGGCTGCACCCCAGTGTGGTTTGGAACTCACCAGGTAGCCCAAGCAGGCATCAAACACACAGGCGATTCTCTTGCATCAACCTCATAAGTGCTAGGATCACAGGCATGAGCCACCTGCCCAGCTACAGCTCCTGGCTGCAGCTGGCATGGCAGTTATAACTGGCTTACTTCAGCTTGCAAACTGCCAGTATGGAATCTTGACCCTCCAACATTCTGTACCACCCTTGGGTGCAGGATCAGGCAAAAACTGAAGAGATAAGAGAAAGAAGAGGTTAGTGAAGGCCAGGTAAAGTACAGGCCCAGTAAAAAAGTATTTGTGTGGATTTATTTTGTTTTACTTGGGAAATGAACCAGTTCACCTTGCCTCCTTTCGTATTTTCAAAGCTGTCAATTACATAGCAAGAGAGCCCAGAAATGGCCATGAAATCTGCACACCAAAGAGGGAATCATAAGCATGTTTTCTCATGTTATGTCTCCCATGCATGCATGTAGATGACAGGTCACTTTTCATGGGTCACAAAGGTATTTATACACACTTCATATTTAGAGGCCTAAAAAAATTAACAACAAAGATACTGCCTTATTTTGACTATATCCACTTAATTATCTTAACCCATTTAATTGTATCCTTAAATTTTTGAGGTGCTAAATGTTAAACCCAGGGCTTCAAACACACTGGGTAAGTGCTGTACCACTGAGGTGATTCTTAGCCCAACAAAATTTTTTCCTATTTATTTATTTATTTATTTATTTTCAAGACAGGGTTTTTTCTGTGTAGCCCTGGCTGTCCTGAAACACACTCTGTAAGCCAGGCTGGCCTCCATCTTAGAGATTCGCCAGCCTCTGTCTTCTGAGTACTGGGTCTTGAATAGTGTTGGCCAAAATGCTGTAACAGGAACATTCTGCATCACGGAAGGCCTGGATTGCCTTCATCCTTCTATTTAGGCCAGATTCCATCATGACCCAAGGCAAATCTGTTCATGAAGGATGGTGCTGTGTTGGTCATTCCCACGACTGTGACATAATACCAGAGAGGGGGTGGGAGGGAGGGAGGGAGGGAGGGAAGGAGGGAGAGAGAGAGAGAGAGAGAGAGAGAGAGAGAGAGAGAGAGAGAGACAGAGAGACCCAAAGGAAGAGACGCTTACTGTGCTCCAAAGTTGCAGATCTTCAGACCATCTCTGTCCTCATCACTGTGGACCAGTGGTGAGGCAGAGGTAGAACATCAACAGAAGGAGTCTGGGAGAGAGACAAACGCAGAGAGACAGGAAGGGGCAGGATTAAGATCCACGCTTCAGAGCACACCCGCTTGCTAGTTTCTTCACTTCCAAGTAATGCCATTGCAATATGAGCCTGCCGAAGGGTCATTGCAGGACTTCAAAAAACCTTGTGCTTGGCTTTTAAAGACTGTTTCTACTTGTAGTTTACCACATGCATAGTTTTCTATTCATATTCTATCACTGTCTTTAGGGGAAGCAACACAGTGAGGCATACTGCGTGCTTTCTCATGAGGCATACTGTGTGCTTTCTCATGAGGCATACTGCGTGCTTTCTCATGAGGCATATCGTGTGCTTTCTCATGAGGCATACTGTGTGCTTTCTCATGAGGCATGCTGTGTGCTTTCTCACTGGAACTGTTTGTTTTATAACTGCACGGACCAGCTTGACCTGGTGGGCTTTATGGTAAGCAATAAAGAAAGGCACGTGAGAAATGCAACTACGTTACACCATGTCTCAAGTGCAAGGTCAGGTATTTTCAGCCCAGCTTGTCATTAACTCCCTTTGCCTTTAAGCCCCTGATTAGTGTGTCCGCTGCAACTTGTGAGCAAGTCTCACCAGCTTCTTGTGTCAGTGATAGAATGAGTCAGGGCTGAGTTGCTAATGACTTACTTGAGTGAGTTGGCTGTGTGGTAGGAAGTCTATGGATATAATCCTTGTTGGGCTGTTAAGTTTTTAGGGCTGCCTAGGCAAATCTGTGTGGGAACGACTTTAGTATGAATGAGTAAGTTGATATAAGATTATATTCTTATATCATAAGGATATTAGGTAAGTAAGAGAGGAGAGCACTTGACATAAGATTCCAAGGGCTACAAGAGACGGGACCATAGCACAGAGCTCTAAAGGGAAATATTGCATATATAGTCCTTTCAAAATTGTTCATTCTTCCCATAATCATGTGTGGAAGATGTGAAGCTATGGAATACAGCTCCACACACGAGATGCTTTCAAGACCTTGTTTTCTTTTTAGTTCAGTGTCATATCTCATAAAAACCCTTCCATGATGTTCCTGTGGACTCTGTGAACTCCTGGGGGGTTTGAGTCTCAAGGGGTTCACTGAGGTGGATGAATGGTCCTTGATTTGTTAGGAGAGTCATTAATGCCACAGACAGACAGCCACATGACAGAGGATCTAAAGAGAGTTATGGCTCACATGGCAATGTTGGGGGCTTTTCTTCCTTCCTTTTCAGAG